GATACCAAATTGTAATGAACCCCGTCTAGAGGAAACTCGTCAAGTGTCGAAATACAAGAAAACTCAGCGCTGATAAATGTCTCCAATGATCATGAAATATGATATGTGATACAATGTCTCGTAACCAGAGGACGCAGGAGGAGAGGGGGAGGATAGACTTAGAGGGTGGAAGAGAAAGTATCCATCAATGTCCGCGTTGATAGAAACCCCTCCTTCCCCTATTCTTCTTTGGGCATCTCCTCTCCTCCACGTCAGAAAACAGTGTCCTTGAAACGAGCCTGACGAGGTCTGATCACAACAAAGTGCCACGTAGGCACAAGTCACCAATGAAGACGTCTCTACAACGCGCGATGTTGACGGCATCAACAGGTGAGTCCCCTCTCTCTCTCAATCAATCAATCCCACAGATCCTGATCCTCCTCCTTGTCGCATCCCAGTCATCAATGAAGATAGTGTGGCATGCGCCACGTCAACAATGTCGAAGGCAGCGTGGCGAGTGCCACGTCAGCATGCTCGAAGACATCTGGCGCCAGAGCAGAGAGGCGTCAACACACGAATGCAGCAGTCTCGCTTTGTTGTCGCACAATGCAAACGTAGAGCCAACGTCTTTCCAGCGTCCAGCCTGCGTCAAGCCAGCATCGTGCCAGCGTAAGTCAGCATGGCAAGACTGAATGTTGACTCCCAAGGGCACGGTCAATAAATAGCGTTGAAAAAGTTGACCTGCCTCTGGTCTCCCACCCACGGAGGCTCAGATTGACTCACAGCCGACGACCTGGATCTCGTACAGTTACAATCTTACAGACTCCCACTTGGACCGAATGATGTCTGGATACCTGTGTACAACCAAGTGTGTGTGTCTGATCGATGGCCTGGACTGTGTCCATGAAGACTTTGACTCGTGAGCCTCTTACAGTTGGCTTTTGGTCAACTGTTGGTGCAGGGCCTCTGAAGCCACGTCTCAGGGGCTTTGTTTTCCCCCCAGTCGGACGTAGGGCCGAAAGGCCTTTTTCCTTGGCCTCCGGGTGGCCCTTAGACGACGACATAGGCATATTTGAGTGGATTATTGCACATGCCTCCCTCCCTCCCTCCCTCTCTCTC